AGTGAGGACGGGTCGGTTTGATCCACACTTCGAACGGATCTGCTGGTTTTGATGTCCACGAAGTGTGCCTACAAAAAGAGTCTAAAAGGGAGGGAGGTAGTCCCCCCGATAGACATTTCAACGATCAAGTTAGGGTAGAGTAGATTGACTATAGAGAGAAAGAGAGAGAATAAGGGATGAAGAACTTAACGTTTATCGCGTCTCGAGAGCTTCCTTATATCCTTTGCTCATCATTTCCTTGTCCATTCCCAGCTGTCTTGTTGGCCGAAAGTCTATAGTCTAGTTGACATCGTTCATGGTGATTCTGCGTCCTCCAGTGTGAGGGATCTTCCCCGCATTTAATGCTATGTTGGCTTCATTAAATAACTGATGTGAGTGCAATAACTTTGCAGGATCTTTGTCTGCTTACGTGGCTAATTCCTTACCTAACAGGTGTTTCAACACTAGTGGTCTTGGCCCAGCACTGGCTTCTTAGAGTTATTGGGCTTTTAGAACCCGGGCTGTGGGCTAGACCCTGCCGTGAGCTGGGCCTTCTTGGGTGCCCATCAATATTAGCTAGTAAACAAAGCCCTTAATTTCTTTTTCTTTTTTTTTTCATTTGTTGAATCTAAGCTTACCTAAGACTTGCGCCGAAAAGAGAGTCACCACTGGAAAGAGAGAGAGAATAGGTGGTCGGTTCGTCGGTGGTGGTTGTAAATGGTGGTTGGTGGTTTGTTTGAAGATAGCAGAAATAGAGAGTTTGTTGAGAAGGGTTTAGGTTTGGTTGATAGTTCATTTGAGAGAGAGAAATAGTATTTGTTGAGAGGTTTGGTCTCGTGAAACAAATACACGACAAAGGTAATTGAGATTCTGTTTTTGCCAACCCACACCACGTCAGTTGAGGGGACTGTTTTTGTGTGAATGTAGCGGCTCTCAAAAACAAAAGTCATTTAGCTATGAATTACAATATTTAACCATTTTAACTTTTGTATCATGCAAGTACAATGAATTAAAGCTATGTTTGAATGGGAATTTAAAAGGAATTTACATAAATATTATTCAAATATTTAGTTTGATGAATTCATGATAAGAAGGTATAAAGTGTTAAATATTATGGGCCTAATTATTAATTTTTACTATTTAAGTAGTTAATATTCTTTTAAAAATGTGAGATTTCTAGGAAATAAGTGATGAAATTGAATTCCTATTATTTTTCTTGGGAATACTTACGGGTCAGTCCTATTAACTGGACTTATTAACCTATAAGTCATGTTTATTTTTTCATTTATCAATATCTCCAAAATACTCTCTACCACACATAAGATCACTGCCATGGTACCTTACTACCGATAACTACTGACTATCACTTCTGACCATCAAAGGCCAACTCTGGCTATTGACTATCACTTTTGACTGCCAGCGACCATCTCTAGTCATCGTTTATAGCTATTGACGACCACCATTGACCTCCAACAACTACCTTCGACTATTTTTTTGACCATTTTCTATCTCAAATGCGTCACTACTGCCACCACCTCCTCAGATCTGGTGGCGACAATAGAGAAGAAGAAAAGAAAGAAAAAAATAAAAAATAAATAAAAAAAAAGAATAAAGTAGAGGAATGAGAAACCTTTACCAGAAGTTCTCATCATTTTTCACATTCATAGATCAATACAAAAAATCAAAGACAGATTCAATGATAAATTTATCACTAGCATTGACACATTCACTGATAAATTTATCACTGGATATTATCACCATCACAAATTAATACAAGAATCAAAGATTATTCAGTGATAAATTTATCATTGATATATTAAACCATGATTGCAACTGATTTGGTTTAAGAAAAATAACGAGGGATAGAGGGAGATAGAGATAAATGTTAACATAAATAACCAGACCATTTAATTAGTACCCTTTTACATTCTTACACTCATACTCATATACATACACATTCACTTACATATTCATTCGCAAACACATTCATACATTTACACTCACAAAAAAGTGTAGGACTAAAAAATTATCACTATAGATTTATCAAGATTTCACAAACAATAGATTTGGTTTAATCAGATCTTCACCAACAAATTCATGGAGATCTATCACATAGTATAGAAAGAGGATAAGAGAAAAAGATAAAGGAAGAGAAAGAGACCTGATCTCACAAGAAGAGCTCCAACAACCATGTAATGGCTGTATCTTGACGGTGAAGATGGCTACAACACTAGATCGACATTGTAAATGGCCATATCTGAACAATGACGCTGTAGATAGGTAAGAGCAGTAGTGGATCGATAACGATGATGTGTAGATCGAAGGTTGTATAGTATAGATCAACAATGGTGAAGTGTAGATTGATGATGGTGGAGATAAAAAAAATGATAGAAATGGTTGGTGAACGATGGAGGTGATCGAACAATAGGGTGGTAGAAACAGTGGTCGGTGGATAACCATGGCAACGGTGGAGGTAGACGGTGCTAGTTTGAAGCTCTTTAGAGAAATGGTGTAGAGAGAGAGAAAAGAAAAGCTTCTTGGAAAATTAATAGAAAAAAGAGAATATAACAAAAAAAAAGATATAATTAATGAGGAGTAATAAATTAATGAGGGTAATATAGGTAATGAAGGATTTATTGGTGCATTTAAAAGGTTAACAGGACTAAATGTTATTTAAGTCCACTTAATGGGCCTTGCTCGTAATTATCCCTTTTTCTTAGGCTTAGATTGATTAGATAGATAATATAGAAAAATAAAAGAAAAAAAAAATTTGTTTGGTTTCAGTTTTCAGAATTCACTTTTTAGAAAATTTTACTTTTTTATTTTTCGTATTTTTTTTGTTTTCACTGACTTTTTTAATATTTTTAGTAACTTTTTAAAAAAATTTAGACACACCTAACATAAATACACTTAAAAAATATAATATTTGTGAATAAAATATTTAAAAAAATTAACTAAATACCAAAAACACACACACACACAAAAAAAACTAAAATTCAGTACATTTTTGTTATATTTTTGTGTATTTATTAATTTATTAATTTTTTTTACAAATATTTTACTATTTAGATACATTTAAATAAAGTACATATAAAAAAGTAAAAAAAAAAATTACTTAAAATTTCAAAAACATTCACTAAAAACAAAAAAAATAAAACTCAATTTTCAAAAAAGTGAATTCAGAAAATAGAAACCAAACTTGCTGAATAATTTGTTATGTGTTTATTTAGATAAAGAGTCCTAGAAAATAATGGAAATTAAAGTTTCTTGTACAAGTCAAATTAGCTTGTTGGTTAGTGTAACAATTTTTTGCAAAATATATAGAAAAATTTATTTTTTTCTACATATTTTGACAAGATTTCTTATTATTATTTTTTGTCTATATTTCTCTCCACAACTCCTTGTTATGCAGTGATTCCCATCATTTTCTTACAAAATTTTGCATCTATTCAAATGATTACAAGAAAAAAAAATATTTAATATTTCTTTCTCTCATTTCAATTTTTACAATTTTCATTATCTATCAACTGTCTTCTTCTAAAAAAAAAAGGAACGAAAAATAGTGTTTGTGCCTTTTAGAGTAATTTTTCTTAGTGTGTGTGTCTTTGGATGGCAAATATTTAATATTAGAAAAGTTGAACATACAATAGTCATCTAAAAATACATTTTAAATGATCCTTACTCAAAATGAATAATTAGGAATTACAATTTTATTCCAATTCATTTCAAACATGAAAATCATGAAACTCGCGATCTTATTCTCACTTTGATAGAAAGTGAAGGGTAGGAATTTATGTGAGACCAACTTCACATAAAATTTAAAGGATTAGTCTGGCGGGCGTAACGTAGGTAGGGTTTGAGGATGTGGTTTTTTTTCAGTGTTCAACTCTGGGTTGGTTTGAAAAATGGATTGGTTTTTTGATTTTTTTAGTTATTTTAGTTTGGGTTAAAAAATAATTTTTTGATTTTTTTGATTTTTTTTGTGAGAGAATGGTGTAATGATTATGGGTTGGATGTGATGTTTTATTTTTTGTGGCTAAAATAGTCTATTTTGTCTTTTGTGACTAAAATAGTCAAAAAAAGTCCAATCTAACTCTTCCCAAACGGAGCTGTCTGCAGAATTTGTTCGAGATTTATCTGATTTATATGGAAGAAGTACTTTGTATAGATTTCAAAATTAGTCGAAATATGTGTAAATTGATCTGAACACTCCGATCATCAAAGAAAACGAAATAAAAAACTTCGCATAACATAATGCACAAATAGATAAATAACAGACCAATCTTAGGGGGTGTTTGGCAAGAAAAAAAATAGCCTAGTTTAGGCTAAAATTTACAAAAAGACAAAATAGGCTAAAATAGCTAATAAGACAAAATATCACATCAAACCCATAATCATTTCACTTTTTCTCTCACAAACATCACATCCAACCACAAAAAAATCCAATCATCTTCCCAAACACAAAAATTTTAGCCTACTAAAATAGTCAAAAATTAAAATAGCCTACTAAAATAGCAACTTCCCAAACGAAGCCTTAAATTTTGTGTCTAAAAAATTTCTCAAAAAAGTTAATATAGAGATTAATTTTACAAGTAAACTTCATTAAGAATTCATTTGCGATGTGGGTTAATTTTTGAATTTTTAATTTTTTGAATTATTTTAATTTAAAATTAAAAAATTTCATTTGGAATGAATTTTTTTAATTTTTTTAACTTTTGTGAGAAAAAAATAATTATAATTTGAATATAGCATTTTGTCTTATTTGACTAAAAAACTAGGTTGTATTTGGAAGGGTTTTAATTTTTTAATTTATTTTATTATTATTATTATTATTTTGACTATCTTAACCACAACCTTATGCAAAACGAGTCCTCAATGTAGATCACACCATCAATTTCATGTAAATTTCCAAACAGAAATATGGGTCCCTCTACTAATTGAACTTTATGTAAACCAATAAATTCCTGCCACGTAGGTACCAATTCCAATTAGGACTCATATATAAGTATTTTATGTACCTCCATACACACGCATACATGGTTGAATTTGTAGGCATTGTGAAATCAAAGACACACCAAACTAAAACCCTTTCCCTTCCCTCTCTTTCTCTCCCTCTTCAATCGCATCCCAAATTTTCTCACCCTTTCTCGGAAAATATCATCAATTTTCTTTTACTTTCCTTTTTCGTATCCCCACACACATATGTTTATATAGATTTGAGAAGCATGAAGGAGAAACCCTAGTTCATCGAAAACCCTAATTGGATGGTTCTACTCTGATTTCGTTTTGCAATTCGGTGAAACCAGCATTAGTTTCTGGAGAAATTTGTGTTGGTCTCTTGATATACGCATTTCAATTTTGGGAGAAAAGAGGAGAGAGAATGGAGGGGATACCGCATCCGATACCGAGGACTGTAGAAGAAGTGTTCGCCGACTTCAAAGGAAGAAGAACTGGTTTGATCAAGGCTCTCACCACTGGTTCGTCTTTCCTTCTTCGATTTTCTGAATGTATACAGATGCATATACACCCACACACACTCACATATGTATATATGTATGTATCACCTACTCTCTCTCTCTCTCTCTTTCTCTCTCTCATAATTATTTGGTTTTGCTAATTGTGATATGCAGAAGTCGAGAAGTTTTATCAGCAGTGCGATCCTGGTGAGTCCCTTACCGTTTTCCCTATCTTCATGGGTTTAATTTCTCTCTCTCTCTCTCTCTCTCTATTTATATATATATATATATATATATTTGTGTGTGTGTGTGTGTGTGAATTCAGATACTGATTAGAGCCACTACTGATATTAACTGTGCTTTTAGTTTTTAAATTTGAGTGCTTTTCACTGTTTTCAGATGATAATAACGTTATTTCATAGGCTGGAAAGAGTTGAATTGTGGGTTTATAGGGCTCGCCTTCACTCTCTCTCCGTGCCTCCCCGCAGATAAAATTCTTAGCTGACTTTTGCATCTGTATGGTTTTCTGGGTTTTTTTATTATATGAGTTTATATTATTTTGATTGTTTACGTGATTGCTGCTTTCTATTTGTTGCTTAGTAGAATGTTTTGAACAAATGGAGCTGAAAATCTTATCGATGTGTCATTGAATATCTATTATTAGGAGAATGAAATGTGTCCTTATCAGGAGAATGAAATGTATCATTGCCGACACAGTTGGGACTAAATAAGAACTTTCTAAACTTACTTTAATTTGTCATATTTGTGAACATGGGGCCAACTTAACATATTGTCGGAGATTTGATTCTAACGGCATCTGTCATTAGTGAGAGTGATTCACTTTATCATTTTTGAGGAGAGTAAATGATGTTCTTTTTGAATGTCTGATTTATTTCTAAATTGACACTTGTTACTGTTGATAATTAGAATAACAGTTACATTTCCCTTGGATTCCATAAAAAGGTGCATGTTTACCATACGTGATTTTTCTAATTGTAATTGTGAACTGTTGTGTTGAACATCAATTTTAGAAGCATTATGCATTATGACCCTTATTATGTCTTGATTGTTTTTAGTATGGGAAGATATGAAGTGTATTCGAGCATCTCCAATCCTTAAAACTATATTTTTTTTTTCCCGTCAAATTTAAATTTGATGAAAAAATGCTCAAAAATCATCTTCAATCTTTTCATAAAATGTTCATCAATTCAAGGGAGAAACAATTTTTTTTATCAAATTCAAATTAGACAAAGGATCTGAAGAAAAAATGACTCTCCCTTGATTTGATGACATTTGATATAGGGATTAAAGATGATTTCTGAGCACTTTTTCATCAATTTGAAAAGGTGAAGAATTGGAGATGGTCTTAGTGGTACAACAAGTGGTGTACTAGTCTATACTCTGCAGTCTAAGAAGTATGGACGTGGACACATGACACGACACGAATGCGTGGACACACAAATTTTCAAAATATGCAGGACACGACATGTTGGGAACACGTGCAAAACATATAATTTTATATGTTAATTATGTGTCATATTTTTAAATATTTAATATGTATTTTATGCAAATATTTAATTTTATCAAATTTATCACCTTAAGTATGCTATTTTAGTAAAAAAAATTAAAGTTATTTTATTTTATTTTTAAAAAAAAATAGTCCTCAGTATGTCCTTAACGTTTCCTGAGTGTATCCCAGCATGTCCTAATTGTCCCAGTGTGTCCAGCGCGTGTTAGACACTTGTACTTGCCCTCCGGAGAGGTGTGCTTCATAGTCTGTTCTATAATAAATACATTATAATTTCTAACATTTTAAGTGCCTTAGCTAAGGATTGGAAATTATGCTCCTTTGGCTGGTGTAGCTATTGTGTCACAATGATTGTTATGAGTTTTTAAGCAGAGTGGAGAGCTAGGATGAGCATGATTGTGACTAATTTTACTATTTTATGAGGCCTGGGCTTTGTAACCACCTAACATTGTGATTTATTTATTTTGCTTTCTAAATGCTCTCTCAACAATTTCATTAATTTTATCCCTGAAACAGTATTGGTTCAATGTTCCAAGTTGTTGAAGTAATGCGTGATGCTCTGATTCTGATTATCTATTTTCATATAGTTGTTTTATTTGGTAGTAGATTAGTTCTATTATTTTACAATTTTTATGTGTTGTAACATATGTCATAAGATTAACACCCTAATTATGATTACCATACACTTTGAGTGCTTAATATATTAAATGCTCATTTCTTTTGTTAGTTGTGCTTATTGTTGGACATATCTGAAATTGGCACTATAAGATTTAAGATGACTTGAACCTTACTCAAGTTACGTATTGCTTCTCTCTTAAATCTTAGAAAAACGGCTGTCTTTGTTGCTAGAGAAGGTTTCATTGCTTAAAGCAGCAATGCAACATTGTCCTTGTTGGCCAATGTTTCTTGTTATTATTAATAATTTTTTATGAGAAACAAAAGTTTCTTTAACAATGACATTTTCCATATAATATTCTATAGTTTCTGGTGATGCATTACATGGTTACAATACATTCATTGTTGTATTACCTTCAAAAGAATATGCTGGTGGGTGGAAAAGGGCGTCATTCTTGTTATATAGAGGAGTACATTGTTTTGTCTGAGCCATGATGTTTTTCTTGCAGATAAGGAGAATTTGTGTTTATATGGACTTCCAAATGAGACATGGGAAGTCAACCTGCCTGTTGAGGAGGTGCCTCCTGAGCTTCCCGAGCCAGCATTAGGTATAAACTTTGCGAGGGATGGAATGCAAGAGAAAGACTGGTTATCACTTGTTGCAGTTCATAGCGATTCATGGTTGCTTGCTGTTGCGTTCTATTTTGGTGCACGCTTTGGGTTTGGTAAGAGTGAAAGGTAATACTTTTTTCTGAAAATCAATGGGATATTCTAGATTTTCATATCTTGTTGGAATGTTAGATTTCCATATGTGTTTTGGTGAGGCATGCTGGTCAAATGTTTGAATTTTGGTTGTTGCCATCACTTTCTTGATGATTATGATTGTTATCAAGATTGTTGGAGAACCTACCCAAAAAATATTATTATTAGAAGTATATACAGTTTGCTTTCTGAATAGTTGATATGCAGCATTAGTCATTTGATGTGGTTCTATTTGCAGGACATTTAGGGTGACAGTATTTTACTAGGCTGCGTGTTATGTAGCTTTCTTACCCGTTCCTATTACGCCCTTGTACTTTTGTTTTTTTCCCTTTTCAGTTCCCAATTCTCTCATTTGTGAATCATTTAACTTGCTACAGCTTATCCTATCTTACTTTGTTCTTCCCTTTGTTTAAAATGCAATGCACTGGACATTTCCATTTATTTTTCATTTTGCATATTTGTGTTGCACTGGTGCTACACCTAGACTCTTTTTATTGTGCTTATTTCTTTTGTTGTCCATTGTCTATTTTCCAGACATCCACCCTTGGTAATAGCCCTTATGGAGCTTCAGTTGTCTTCAAATGTACTCATGTTCAGTTATAGGTTTTATTTATTTTTTATACACGTACTTTGGTTATAGAAGATTATATTCTTTATCAAAATTTAGACTTGAATTGGCAGATCTCCTCATAGTTTCTTTGTAATGAATGGTTCCATCTTGTACCAAAATCTCTGGCATCTGATAACATGCATGATTTTTATAGTGCATAGTTCAATTGCTCTGATGTTTGCACCTTTTTTTCCCTGTTGTTTTGCGGGGATGGGAGTGTGGGGAAGAATATATGGCTCTTTTTTTGTTTTGCTGGGCTGCTTTCTATTTTATCAATTCTTTCTTTTAACATCTTATTTGTCTCCTGATAAAGAGTTGCCTTCTATAGATTTTGTTTCAGTCTGCCTTTTTCCACTTGATTTGTTCATTTACCTTGTATTTGTATGTAGCCTCATCAAACATTTCCATCCCTTGTGCAGTTAAGTAATACTTGGTACCTTGAGCAAAAAGGCAGTTAATCTACAGTTGATATTGACACTGGTGAACCCACATATATAGCACTGCAATTGGTGAATTCCATGAAACTGTTATTTTTGTATTTAGAGTTGTTATTTTAGATGTTTTGTTATTAACACCTATGGACGTGAAGGGAATGAAAAGGGCTTTCCCTTTTTATTGTTTGTCTGAGGGTTTGTAGACCAGAGCGTTTTAAATGTCTAGTTCATGTACTTGCATACAAAACGTGGTTCATCCTGCCCTTATTCCATGGAAATCCCTAACTAAATGGGGATTATCCTGTCATGTTCCTGGCCTGTTTCTTTGTTTGTGAGCGTGAAATTCTATACAAAAGTATTCGAAAAACATTTCTGCTTGAGTTCTGACACTAACATATTCTTACATTCTATTACATCCTGACATTGACTGATACTGGTGTAACAAGTATGTTTTATGAAATTAGTAAAAATTAGAGCCTTTATATATATATACATTTTCAGGTGTTGAATTCATAGCTTAGCATTGTGGTGTGTTTTGGTTCCATTCATTTCCATCTCTTCTTTTTTGACATATTAAGATTGGTGATGGCATTTTTTTTGCTAGAGGGTTTTTCTCCTTGTGGTATGTGTTCCTTTTATTTTATTTTTGGTGCCGTTGCCTTGAAAAATAATTTCATTCTCTTATGTAGCAGTAGTACATAAATTTGTGGCCAATGGGATAGTGGTGTTGGATTTCTGATCAATTAGGGCTGCCATATTGTGTAGTGCATTCATTCTTTGATGGCATTGTCTCCTTAGGAATTAAGTTCCATATATAAGGGCGGAAAAGAGAAAAGCTTCTGTAAGTTTGATTGGTCCATGAATTAGGACTTGATGTCAATGTTAGACAACAAACTTCTTTTTTTCTTTCCTGGGGATGGGGGGAGGAAGCTTACCATTTCATTTTATGTTAATGTATGCATTTTGGCTTCATATGCATCTCATGCACATTGGTTGTGCATCTTTGTGCCTTCTAATGGTATAAGTTATAACCTTATAAAAGAGAAAAAAACAACTGTCGTATTTCTTTGACTGCACTTCCAATAACCAAATTTCATGTTTTCTACATGGTTCATCTATTTTATTAGGTGCTTGTCTGCTGTTTGTGGTGCCAGTTGGTTTGGTTTCATATGAACGTGTATTTTGACTTCCTTTAGGATTTGATGTAATCTTGAGTTGATTGTATGCCGAAGACAATTCTATGCTATTTTGGTTGAATCCATGTTATATCATGCGAGGATCTTGAGTTCATGTGATGTATGAAGAGTTAGTGACTTATTAGATTATTTAGCCACAGTGGTACAAAATTTTAGTTGAGCTTGCAACTATGAATTATTTAGTGGAGGGATATGGTTCTTCATTCTTGTTTTTTTAAATTAATATTATATAAGCTTTTGGAGGGCGTCGGTTACCACTGCTTTGAATTTTCTGTATTGGAAACGTATGTACTTGAAGGGCATGCTTGATTGGGTGAATTAGAACATGGGATTGAGATTATTAATCCGTGGGCCCAATTATCTTATGTTTGTTTTGACATTTTGGTTTAGAATTATTAATCCAATGGATAATTAATCCAACAAATTTGTAGGATTATTAGTAATGGGGTAGGGGTGGGATTATTAATCCAATGGATATTAATCCAATTGGATAGTAAATACCACACTAATTTAATAGGGTTATTAATACTTCACTATTAGTCTTGTGAATCAAACATGACCGAAGTGGCTAGTTAAGTTCTTTGACTTGGACTGAAACCTTATAAAGGTAGAGGAGTCCATTGATTTCAGTATTAACAAGAAGTTCTGATCTGAGATTTGAAGAAAAACCCTTTGATGCCAGATTGTGGAGGAAAGTGGAACAAACCAAAGAAAAAGAAACCAAAGGAAATAGAAAATAAAAAGAAACTAAGGGGTTGTTTGGGATGATCTAAATAAGTATACTTTTTGACTTTTTATGAAATATGGGTTGGATTTGGGTTGAATTTGAAGTGATGTGTTAGAGAGGTTGTGACTTAAATAAGATGATGTGACTTAAATATGATAGTGACTTTTTGACTTTTTTGAAACTTGCCAAACTAGCCCTAAATATTAGCAAAAACTCTCAATTCAATGTTCTTCACTATCAAGTCAAGTCTCATAAAGCCATTACACAAAGGCCTATTTATTGGCATTCAAGAAAACCCTATTTGAAATGACCAAAAATAAAATTTCAATGACTAAATCCTAATAAAACCTAATAATATAAAATGTGACAAACTAAATCATTGAATCCCTAATCTTCAATTTATCTTCATCTAATGCCTTCATGATCCCCCATCATTTTCAATATTGTTGTGATATGATATCTAAAGGAAAGAGGCCAATCCATATAAAAGTTTCAATTTGGAAGTCTGCCTTGTTACCCAGAGCCTGGCAGTCATAGTAACACATGTTTGACTGAAAATATGAGTCTCTTGAGTATAAATCTGAATCTTATGTTCCTCAGGTAGACACAATCTAATATGAAATGTTCGTAGTTTTAGAGGCTGATCTTATAATCTCATGCAACATTTGCATGCAGTTCCCCAACTGTCCTGAGTTACACTTCTACTTGCTCCGGTAATTATCTTAAAGTTAGGTTCAGCCAATGGTGGCATAGGATCCTTCAGTTGGCAATGGACTCTTTTTTTTGTTCAACAAATAAGTTGCATTATTGAGTACATAACTTGTCATGTTTTCTTCTTTTTGAAGTCCTGATAAGATTTTAGACTCTACCTGAGCTTATGATCATGCAATGTGGGAGGACACTCTGCCATTGTGTTTATACCAATCACATAAATTTCAAAACTTCCTGTTGGGGGAACATACTTTGAGGCATACATGATTTAGATGCCCTAGTAATGATCGAGGAACAAGCCTACATACTACTGACATTTGTCTCAAATAAAGTTGGGAAGAAAGCCTTTCATAGTGGAGTTGTTTCTGATCTTTGTTGGAATTGACATTTACAGGAAGAGACTTTTCCAGATGATAAATGAACTCCCAACTGTATTTGAAGTTGTGACAGGAAATGTTAAGCCGCCAAAAGACCAATCCGGTGCTCAAAACAACAGTAACAAAAGCAAATCAAGTGGGAAGCCGGTAAGAAGTGGCTGAATGTTTTTATTTTCAGTTTTCTGCATGTTTACTTCTTTGTTGTGTTAAGTTTTTTTTGTCTTTTGCTGTTTGGCTGCTTTCTTTTAGCAGTCTCGGTCTGAGCCACCCCAGCCTAAGGCAGTAAAGATGTCTCCTCCTCCACCTAAAGAGGAGGATGACAGTGGGGAGGAGGAAGAAGAAGAAGACGATGAACAGGGAGCCACACTATGCGGTGCTTGTGGGGATAACTATGCCAACGATGAATTTTGGATCTGCTGTGACATATGTGAGAGATGGTTCCATGGCAAATGTGTGAAGATTACACCTGCAAAAGCTGAGCATATCAAGCAGTACAAGTGCCCTAGCTGCAGTAGCAAGAGGGCTCGAGTTTAAAAACATCAATAAATTAAAAAGGACGAAGTCTAGAACTTTTTTTTTTTTTTGGGTGACTTTTTAAAGTGAAACAAGGCAAGACGATGATGGCCCATCTTAGAAATTTAATCAACTAGAATGTCTGTTGGTGGGATTTGATGGGATTTAGCGTATGCTACTCTTTTATGTTACATGTTTGTCTAAAGTCTTTTCTGGGAATTGTGCTTTTAGCAGTTGCTAGGAAGAAATTTTTGTGCATTATCATTCTGTGTTTGATTGAACATGCACTGCTTTTATTCATGATCAAGATTGGATAATGCATACCCATGTTTTTGCATTTGCTTGGGCAGTTTCATATTGTAATAGAATGGTTCAGCTTTTAGCCCCCAGAAAATGAAAATTGCTGTAGTTTTCTTAATTTTTTCAATGAAGAGGCTAATATTGAGAGATGTTTCTTGCATGTTTATAATAGTGTGTCATTGTGACAGGAATGCTATGATTGAGATGGGATCATCCTAGAGGTGGCAAATCATATCCAATTATGCCACTTAAAAACTTGTTTAAACCCATTCAATCAATGGTTAATTAAATTGGCACCTATCTCCTCCACCAGACAACCACCACCACCGTGCTATTGCAACCATCACCATCACTACAACTGCTGCTGCCACTACACCATAACAGGAATGCTATGATTGAGATGGGATCATATATATATATACATAGGTTGTAATGCCTCTTGCAATATTTGGATTTTTATTCTTTCTTTCCTGAATAAGCTGTCATTTGGAAGCCATGTATTTTGTTTTAACCCTGGGGATGCATGCAAAGAAAGACAGAGAATATGCATTGAGAGACATCCTCACAAACAAAACTATGAAACTCATTCATAAATTATCACATGGTGTTGGAGGCCATCTCTAATGTGCAGACCCATTTGCTTGGATGGTATCCCTTCTCCCTTCAGTGACATCTGTCTTGCTTTGTGAGCTTTGAAGAGTCTTGAGAAACTTTTGTGCACACTTGAGCCATACTCTACAAGCACACGACTTTTTACAGGTAGCGGCTTGGAGCTTGAAATGCCCAATTACTCATTATCTTTCTTGTTACCTTGCCATAAGAAGCCTTGTGCATTGGGTACAAACCTTTTTTGTCATTGTATTTCCTCACAGTAATAAAATTTAAGCACCATTCCACTCTTAGATGCCATATAGCTATCATTGTATTGCAGCTGACAAAGATTCTAATCATGAATTGCTTTAGCAAGGTGTTAGGCTCTCAAAAAGAGCTAGGGAAGGGGGAAAAATGCTTGAGAATGAATATAAAATTTTCCTCTATGTAGTGGTTGGGTTTACAACTATGTAACAAACTTAGTAATCTAAAAATGAAAGAAAAAACACAACCAGACATCTTACCAGTAGTCGTTGCATGAGCATAACCCATTACTGAAACAATGAAACCGATTGTTGTCCCTGACAACAATCTCTCTTCGCTCCAATTTTGAAATCATCTTTATAACCATATGGCAATCCCAACACACCCTTAGGTTCTTCACCACCCTGATCACTTCCTTTTCTTCACTAACAAGTAGAGCGAAAGCAATAGCCAATTTCTCACTATGAGTTCCCACCATCTCTTCCTTTTCTTCTTCCTCAACATCTCTCAACACACAGCTCTTATCAGCTATGTATCCAAAAGCCCTCATCTTGTTTCTCAATTCTCCCAATAAGCGATAAATATCATCTGATTGTCTGTGTGATCTCTCTCCTACTATGAACTTATGCATCTTACCACCGTATTCCACAAAGCTCCATCCAATTGTCTTATTCACTCCCCCTTCTCTCATCGCCTTTCTGACCCTCTCAACATCTTCCCACCTCGCTTTAGAAGCGTATATATTTGAAAGCAAAACATAATTTCCAGAATTTTGTGGTTCTAGCTCAAAAAGCTTGTTTGCAGCAAGCTCCCCTAGGTCAACTCTTTTGTAAATCCGGCTAGCATTTAAAAGTGACCCGTAGACCCCTCCATGTGGGTTCATTGGCATTCTTTCAATTAATGTCTTTGCTTCATCTAACTTACCCACCCGACCTAACAAATCAACCATGCACGCATAATGATCGACTTCTGGATCTTTGATCGATTCAAAGATTTCATGGCCTTGTTCTAATAATCCAGCATGGCTACATGCTGTTAGCACACTGATATAGGTTACGCGGTCGGGTTCAATTCCTTCATCTTTCATCTTCAACATTAGTTCAACAGCTTCAGTACCATTCCCATGAGCTGCTAATCCAGTGATCAATGCGTTGTAGGAAACCACATCCCTCATTGCCATTTCTTGGAAAACTTTTTGGGCATCTTTCATGCTCCCACATTTGGAGTACATGAAAATCAAAGAATTGTACCCTGAAATACTTAACTTCATTTGGTTTTCGCTAATGAAATTCACAACCCAATTGCCTAATTTCAAAGCGCCAAGATGTCCACAAGCTGAGATAACACTAACCATAGTGACCTCATCTGGTTTTGAGTCCTTGGTTGTGACCATTTCTTGGAAGAGTTCAAGTGCCATAGCTGATTGCCCATTTTGAGCATAACCCGCAACCATTGAGTTCCATGATACAACATTCCGATCGTGCATCGTATCAAAGAGCTCCCTAGCCGAGGTCAGATCACCAACACGTGTATATGCCGAAATCATTGCATTCCATGCGACAGAATTCTTATGCACACCCAACTCATTAAAAACTTTTCTAGCAGTCTTGAGGCTTCCACACTTTGCATACATATCAAGAAGCGCTGTCTTGACAAAGTAATTCAGATGTATGCACTTCTCATCCAGCATTTTGGTAAGTGATTCTGCACGGCAAGGATCACTACGTGATGAACACGATGAAATAACAGCAACCCATGTTGTCTCATTTGGTTGAAGCCCCGCGTTCACCATCTCATGGAATAGTCCTATAGCCTCTTCGGCAAACCCATTTTGAGCGTAACCAGCGATCATTGCATTCCATGAGACGACGCTTTTCTCAGGCATTTCATCAAAAAACCGCCTCGCACTCTTCAAATCCCTCATCTTCGAATACCCAGTGACCATCGCAGTCCAAGAGATGACATTCCTCTGAGGCATTAATTCAAACAGTTGACACGCTTCGACTTCATATCCCCAATTCCAATACCCAGAAATCATGGAATTCCAATCTACAACAGTCTTCTCACACATTTCATCAAACAGTTTACGTGCAATCTCAACCGACCCATATTTCGCATACATACCCATGACCGAATTGCGTACATAGCGATCACAGCCATAACCCATTTTCAACAAATGAGCATGTAATTCAATGGCAGCTTTACCAACAGATTTGACCAAGATGGCGTACACATACACATCGGGCCTCACACCATTTTTTTGCATTTGCCCAAAAAGAGTGATCACATCATTGTGGGCACCCAATTGGGAGTAGAATTTGAGGATGTTTTTGAAGACAAGGACATTTGGGTGCGGTACAGAGTCGAAAATGAGACGGGTATAAAGTGGTGGCGCGTGGAGGCACGTGCAGTGGCCGAGGAGTTGGGCTGCCCAGTGGTTGTGGTGGTGGAGGTGGTGATGAATGATCTGTGCATGGAGTTGTTTCAGGTGGTGCAGATTGCTTACTTTCAGTGAAGTGGTGAACAAATGTGACATGGGAATGTGGTTTGTAATGTGGGCATGAAAGGTTTATGTCCATAACTAACTTAACTGCCAATGTCAAAATGACTGAAATGCTCCCTTTGTTTGAAGAGGGGATCCCTCATTAGTGCTCACAAATTCAGGTTAGTTTGGGCTTGGGGCTAGTTGATTGTGCTTTTAGTGCTCGTTTGGCTAAGATTTTGGAACTAAAAAAACATAAAAAAAACAAAATATCACTTTTTATCGATAATTATTATAATTTTTTTTTCACAAAAATAAAAGAAGTCCTAAAACAAAAATCAAACGAAACTAAAAAAATCAAGTTAAAAAAATCTCAAGCTAAAACAGTTAGCTATATTAGTCAATGCTAAACAACCCCTTATTGTTTCTAGCTTATTTCCAAAAGTCCACTGGTTTCTTAAAAAGATATGGCCACTGTCCAGTCCGGGAGCGGACTGGACCGTGCTGTTGGACTCGTGAGGATTCACCATGGGTCCCGTTTTGATAATCTGAACCGTTCAATATATAGAAATCGTCAAGTACTATATGCCTGTAAAAAATCAAGTTGATCGGATATCGATAGCTATGTAATCAAAACAGTTTTTTGTCAACTATTAATTTGTTCACGGTCCAATTTTTTTAATACGAAACTGATTTGATCATATAGCTATCGATATCCGATCAACGTGATTTTTTACATGCCTATAGTACTCGACGAGTTCTACACATTTAACAGTTCAGATTATCAAAACGGGATCCATGGTAGGTCTCCACAGGTCCAACATCACAGTCCAGTTCGATCCCGGACTAGACAGAAGCCATACCCTTTCTAAAAACATGTTTTTAAGACAAACAAACAACCAAACAAACAAAAAGATTTCCATTAACTTATTATAAAACTTATTGAAATCGTGTTTTCATGAAATAACGTAGATTTTAACAATAAATTGCAAAATGGCCTAAGATTGAAAGTAAGATAGTTAGGGATTTTTGTAAAGTGGACATCAAGATTCACTCTCTGATGACAATTTAAAAAAAAAAAAAAAAAACTTTTAGAAATTATTTAAACACTCATATATTCATTTCATGCAATGTAATTGATGGTGTACCAATAGATTGGTTGGAAACTTATTATTGAACTTAAAAAGTAAAAGTAAAGTATGTGGATTCGACAACTTTATGGTCCCATAAATATAATTGGTAATTATTATTATTTAGCTAAATTTAATTACATAATATTAACATGTTAAAAGCAATATTTTTTTTTCATATTTAGGTATCACATTATAAGGTTTTTTTTTTTTTTTTTTCTTTTAAGAGAGGCATGTCAGCATGTATTTTTTTAATTATATATAGAGTTATACACAAATCCAAACTAATTTAAATTATACTAATTTTATCTATTTTATATGGACTCTATTTGATAAATATTTCTTTTCATATGTTTTTCATGGTAGATTGAGATAATTCACAAATCCAATACCAATTTTGTGTTTCACATTTTTCTTCTTAATTCTTTTAAGGGTATTAGGATTTTTTTCAATACTAAATTGCCTCTTTTTTTTTCTTTCTTATTTTTTCGTGCATTATTCTATACCAAATATCAATTTTATATTATTCTATATTATGAATTTGTTGTTTAAATGTTATGGTGATTCTATGTATGAAATTATACTTTATTTCTTACATTATTTTATATAATTATAACTCACAAGAGGAAAAACATATACAACAATTATACTTTCGAGAAACCTCTATAGTTTGGATTTACTGCTTGAGTTACTTTTTCAATTGTTAAATAGTAAATTCTTTTATGTTTTGACATCATATTACAAATGATTAATCATTTCACGCATTAAAATGTATCTATCGTTTAGATATATTTATTATTTTTTCTTTTGGGGTTTAGATGTTTTTATGTGATTCTTTTTGGTTAGTTATTATTAAATTTCTTTTATGTAGTTGATATTTTAATTTAATTAAGGCTTCGTTTGGCAAGGAGGTTTGGGGTTATTTTAGTCACAAAAGACAAAATAGGCTATTTTAGGCACAACAAACAAAATATCACATCCAACCCATAATCATTACACTCTTCTCTCACAAAAAAAGTTAAAAAAGTCAAAAAGTCAAAAAGTCTTTCCCAAACAAAGCTTTTTAGCCCAAACTAAAATAGCCAAAAAAACTAAAAAGCCAACCCACTTCCCAAACGGAGGCTAAGAGTGTTTATTTTACAATCTTATAATTTAATATATATATATATCATATAAAATCATTAAATAATCCAACTACAACATATTTATATTTAATTTTTTAAATAAATTTATATAATATCTATTTCTATATATTTTTATTTTTCAAATAAATATAAAAGAAAATTAAATAGTTAGAATTACTTTTAATTTTATGTTACTAATTCTTCTTGTAATTTAACTATTATTTTTAATATCAAAATGGGTATTTACTTTACTATTCTATAATTTAATATATATATATATATATATATATCATATAAAATCATTAAATAATCCAACTACAACATATTTATATTTAATTTTTTAAATAAATTTATATAATATCTATTTCTATATATTTTTATTTTTCAAATAAATATAAAAGAAAATTAAATAGTTAGAATTACTTTTAATTTTATGTTACTAATTCTTCTTGTAATTTAACTATTATTTTTAATATCAAAATGGGTATTTACTTTACTATTCTATAATTTAATATATATATATATATATATATATCATATAAAATCATTAAATAATCCAACTACAACATATTTATATTTAATTTTTTAAATAAATTTATATAATATCTATTTCTATATATTTTTATTTTTCAAATAAATATAAAAGAAAATTAAATAGTTAGAATTACTTTTAATTTTATGTTACTAATTCTTCTTGTAATTTAACTATTATTTTTAATATCAAAATGGGTATTTACTTTACTATTCTATAATTTAATATATATATATATATATATATATCATATAAAATCATTAAATAATCCAACTACAACATATTTATATTTAAATTTTTTCTTTCGCTTTTTAAATTTTTTTAAAAAATTTTCAACCAAAAACAAATGAAATTTACGTGTTTTCACAGACATTGTCAGATTCTAATTTAATTCCATAAAAATAATTTAATTTTTAATTAATAAAAACTATATTAAAACACGACTTGCACTTATCCGAAGACCAATGTGTGACTTTCCTACACTCCCGAGTACAGATTTTAATGTTAAGTCCTATAGAAGGTGTATTTTATTTATTAATTTAGGTTAAGTTTGGCATATACAAAATAATTCATTTTTTTATCTTTTTATCTTTTTTTCATCACATCACCTCTTTATTTTTTTACACATTTTTTCGTAAAAAGACAAAAAGTACACTTATTTAGGTCATCCCAAATAATTCCTTATTTTTTGAAAAAATAGGTTCAAAACTGAAACAATGGAGGAACTTATTGATAAGTCTCATATATAAAATTTAAAATTTATTTAATCTCAAAACAAAATATTTATACCAATTAGTCTTTTATATTTTTAATTGTTACCAAATTTTTTTTAAAAAAAATAAAATAAATTAAATGCGCTCCTACATCCGTCGGACTTTCGTCAAACGATCATCGGAGACTCACCAAATTATTCAATGAAATATTATCATAAATTCACCGGAATATTGCTGGACTGTTTTGAACGTCACCGGAAGTTGTCGAAATGTCTAGAATATTCACTGGACGTCAAGAATATTGCCGAAAACTCACTGGAATATCTAGAATATTGCTGAAAAAAGAAGAATAATAAACTGAGAAATTAAAGTGAAAAAATATAGTAAAATGTGATAAAAACATTGATAAACTGAAATAAGAAGAAAAAAACCTAAGAATAACAAACAACAACAACAATGAAAAAAAAAATGTTATTTTCAATTTTGTAGGGTTTAAGCAAATAATTTGTAATATTGATCAAACTGAGAAGCAAGTTTTGAAACTATAAAATGTTACAGTTTTAAAGTATGATTCTATTAAGTATTTATCCTTATTAATCAAACTGAAAAACATGTTATGAAACTGCAAAATTTTACAGTTCTAAAGAAAGTTATGAAACTGTAAAGTTTTACAGTTCTAATGATTGATTCAATTCAGAACTAAAAAAATTGAAACTGTAAAATTTTACAGTTTTCACCACCTGGAATTAAAACTCGAAAACATCTTGTTCAGAACTTAAAAATTTTCTCCATTATAACAGGAAAATAGAAGTGTATAGTACAAAAAGTATTAAAACTGAGAGATCGAAGGAAAGAGACGAATATAGAGAGATACTTGTATTCCGACAACTATTTTTTATCTTATTTAGCTGAATTTAACGTAGATCTACTTAGATCTGATGTAAATTTGAGTAAATCTATCATATTTTTCGTCGAAAACTCATTTCTTTCGCCGTCGGCGAGCACGAAATAAGGAGTTGGGGTTCAATGATTGCCCATGAATCCCAATCAATGGTGGTCGCCGGTCGTCAATGACTGGAGTTGGGGTTCAATGATTGCCCATGAATCCCAATCAATGGTGGTCGCCGGTCGTCAATGACTGTAGACTAGAAAGAGAGAGAAAAAAAAAGACGGTGTGGTCGTGGTTAGTATTAGAGAACGAGAGATATAGAGAAGAAACAAAGTGTAAGGAAAGAAGAAAAGATAAATGAGTATAGGATTTTTAGATCTATCTAAAAGATTTTGAGATTAAGTAGGTGTTTGACATGCACTAAAAAAGTACATTTTTTTGTGTGTGCATATATAGACTTATTTGGGTCACATCAATCAATATCTCCTCTCTACTTTTCTATCCACTTTCTCTATTTTTTTACACTTTTTTTTTTTATAAAAAATTAAAAAATACACTTATTTAAAACATCTCAAATCATTCTTAAATAGAATATATATTTTTTTAAAAAAATTGTGGGTAATTTTTCCAATAAAGGGCCCTACATTGGGCCACAACTACGGCAAGTAATTAAATTTTCATGATGTTTTTTCACAATCAATCAGAGTTATATTTTGACTTTATAATATTTAGATGGACAATTTAATGATGGCATGGGCCATTCAGAAGTGGGCCTAAACCCTAAAGCAGGCCTTGTCTACCAGGATCCAATTGCTGGTAGTACACTGGTACTTCTTGCGATTTCATTTTCA